GTGTAGTTATTAGTTTTGATTTCTACATTCCCTTTGTATTTCATTAGTAAGGAAGAAGTTCAAATTCTTTCCAAAAAACGCTATTTTCTGAAAAAGACTCCCAAAAGTGAAAGCTTAATCTCTACATGTCTAGGTCTAACCGCTAGCGTTCTTATATGTCATCTTAAACTTTACATATTACGTGCAACAACCTCATTGACTATTTTGATTGTCCCATGCGCTTTGTATTTGATGAACACTTACTTTTTAAAAATGCAGGGCTCTTGTTTCAACAATTCCTTTGTTTTATATTCGTCGATCGGCCCAAATTTTGTCATAGATCTGATGAATGATTTCATAAATCAATACAATCCAAGGTTTCCCTCAGCATGATGCATTCTGAGTTTGAAGATTCCCATAGCCGGCGTATTTACTTCTTCACTGTTGATTACGACATGAACTTATCAAGAAATATTTGCTTTATTCACTCATGGATTATCCTTGGTATTTTCTTCCGTTTTTTCACCACTTGAAAATTCCACACTTTCTTTTGACATGGTTCAGTCAATAAATTCCAAAATAATCCCAAAGAGCTTACGAATTGGCACTTTACAATATAAAAACACAAGGGCAAAAGTTTTTCAGGCCTGGAACTTTTTACCACCCAGTTGTGCGTGTATTTTACGAAAGATCAGAGATAGCTTATCTCCACATTGGAAAAGCAAAAGGTGCCTTCCAAAAGCTAAGCAAATTACTTAGAAAAATGAAAAATGTTGTTATAAAGAAAGGAAGGATCGCTTAACTACTGTGTTATAATAAACCACGGAAGTGAATTCTGGACAATCTCCTAACATATGTAGGGAAAACTTGAGGCAAGAGAAATGTGGTTCTACAGAAGGATGCTGAGAATGCCATAGACAGAATGCGTAAACAGCGAAGTAGTTTTAAGGAAAAGTAAAACAAAAGGACATTTATATTCATAGACAGAAAGAAACAGCGGAAATTTATGGAGTACAGAGGAAGGAAGGCTTGGAGAATTTAACTCACAGGACATGTCGAAGGGAAAAGAGATAGAGGAATGGTAGGAAGCTACCAACCTGACGATTTTGTTTAAATGAGTGGTGGGAGGGCCTTGCAAAGGGGACAGAAGTTGCTAAAGCCTGCAAGAGTTAGGAGTCTGTGGGGAGCCATGAGTACTCACGCCCTGAAGGGACACAGAACATAGAAAAAGAAGAAGAAGAAGCAGCAGCAGAAGAAGACAACAACAACAGCAACAACAACGACGACAACAACAACATCAGCAGAATGTGACAATCGAGTTGGAAGTTCGTGGGCTGTGTAGAAAAATAGTTCAAGAGTCTCTTCCCCCACTCATCATTCCCTTTTCAAACTTATATTAATTCTTACCCACTCCCCAGCACAGATGTCTAAACTTGATTGAAGATAAACAAAGGATATCTGGCGAGCACCGCCGAGGTCACTTGAGATTTCCACTGCATAAAATAACCTCGTTTTAACGCAAAAATAAGCAAGAAGTACTCCAAATTTTTACGCATAAACAAGTACTCTGATTGTACGTTTTTCTATAAATATTGATTTAAATTATAAAAGTTTCCAGGAGCAAGTTTCTTTGCCCAAGCGCTTAGCAGCAACAAAAAGGTAAACAACGAGTCGAGTAGAAACTCCGAATGAAATAACCTTTACTTGGCACTAATGGCATTGGGAAAATTAAGAATAAGACGAGCAAATGATATAACGGATAGTCAATAATAAAACAAAAAAAAAATATTTTTTTCAAAAGAACTCACTTGCAGGGATTACTTGATCTTTTTTTTTAATCCTTTTACCCCAAGCAAGGCGAGAATGCTGCTAGTACGCAGGGGGTTACAGGGAGTGAAAATGAAAGAGAAGACTGAGAATAGGGAGGATTGAGGAAAATAGAAAAGATGAACGGGGTTCAAGAAAATAGAATCTGGTGATGAATGTTGCATTTCAATTTTTGAAGATTGTAGTTATCTGGAATCAAGTAAATGGAAGAGTTCCACAGGTGGGTAGTGCGAGAAAAGAAACTGCTAAAGCAGAAGTAGCGGTTTTATTTAACTATTTCAAGAGTAAACGAGTGGGACCTAGATGACAATCTAGTAGCACGCTTAAATTCACGTAACCGGAGAACCAGGGAAAAGAGCTCGTCAGAGCAGTTGTAATGAAAATATTTGTTGAAAAGACAGAGGGAAGCCACATCACGTCGGTGAGAAAGTGAGTGAAATCGAGATGCCAAATAAGGGTCAATTATATTACAGATCATTCTTTGGATTTTGTTAAGAACCCCGAGATGAATAGCAGGAGCACCAGACCAGATATGGCAGCAGTATTCCATGCACGGACAAATAGTAGATTTATAAATGTGCAAGATCAAGTGGGCAATCTAGTAGTACGCTTAAATTCACGCAGTCGGGGATTCAAGGAAAAGATCTCATCAGAACAGTCGCCATGAAAATATGTGTAGAAAAGACAGAGAGAAGCCACGCCATGTCGGTGAGAAATTGACTGAAGTCGAGATGCCAAGTCAGGATCGATTACATTACAGATCCTTCTTTGGATTTTGTCAAGAACCTCAGGATGGGTAGCAGGAGCACCAGACCAGATATGGCAGCAGGATGCAATTACTATCTGCAATATCTAGTTGGAGATCAAGTTAGAGCAAGCCTATTCAAAAACTTCAAACTCAGTTCGGGGTTCTTTCTTTGTTTTTAATCATTTCACACCAAGCAAGGCGATAATGCCACTAGTACTACTAAAGTGAAAGTGAAAGAGAAGATTGAGAATAGAGAGGATTGAGGAAAGGACAAAAGTTGAACGGGATTAAAAAAAATAGAAGATGGCGATTGACGTTGCATTTACATTTTTGAGGATTTTATTTATCAGGGAAGCAAGTAAATGGAAGTTCCAGAGGTAGGAAAATGTTGGAGTGGAAGTTGCGGTTGCTATTCAACTGTATACGGGGTGGGACCTAGATGCCAATCTAGTAATTTTATAGTATAAAGATATGTTTTTTTTAAAATTAGCAGAGGCGAAAATGTAATCAGCAAGTCGAGTAGAAACTCCGAATGAAATAACCTTTACTTGGCACTAATGGCCTTGGGAAAGTTTAGAATAAGAAAAGCAAATGATATAACGTATATTCAATAATAAAAAATAATAAAAAAAAGAATTACGTGATCTTTTAATCATTTCACCCAAAGCAAGGCGGGAATGACACTAGTACGCAGTGGGGGGGGGGTTACAGGAAGTGAAAGTGAAAGAAAAAACTGGGTATGGCGGGTTATTGAAGAAAGGATAAAAGATGAACGGGATTCAAGAAGATAGGACTTGGTGATTGGCATTGCATTTACATTTTTGAGGATTTTAGTTCTCAGGGAAGCATGTTCCAGAGGTAGGAAGTGCGAGAAATGAAACTGTTAGGGTGGAAGTTGCGGTTGCTATTCAACAGTATACGGGTGGGACCTAAATGCCAATCTAGTAATTTTATAGTATTTTGAAAAAGATTTCTCCCAGAGATGGGTTATTTTTAAAATTAAGAATAGAATTTAATTTTAGATCCCATACATATTCATATTTCTGATTTTACGAATATTTAGAAAGGTGAACTGTTCTTAATTGATATACTGCTATTTTACCCATAGCTGGAGGAGAAGAGGTTGATTTCGATCTTTCCCAAGGGTATTAGAATGAAAGTGAATGTAATGAACACTACTGGTATTCGAACTCGGCTCGATTCATCAATCCGAGCCTCAATCCATTAATCCGCCGTCTTTAAAAAGTTTATAATAACGTTTCATTGGTTTCCCAAGCAATGCGGGAGTACCACTAACACGCAAGCAGTTAAATAGAGTGAAAGTGAGAGAAAAGACTGGGTATAGTGTGGGTGAACAAACTTAGATGTGGCACAAGGCCAAAAGTATAGTGAACCCAGTGAGGATCGAACTCACTAATCAGTTGTAATTGATTTAGCGAGATAAGTTTGCTAACTATTGCACCACATAGAATCAACCAAAAGGAGACATTTATAGATATTTTCTACGCGTAGTTTAGATGTGGCACAAGGTCGACAGTACGGAGCAACCAGTGATGATCGAACTCACAAAACAATTGTGATTGATCCAGCGAGACAAGCTTGTTAACCATTACACTATGTTGAAGTGCACAAAGCAGATATTTATAGCAATTTATTAAGCGTTGCTTAGATGTGATACAAGGCCGAAAGTATGGAGCCCCCAATGAGGATAGATCTCACTAGTCAGCTGTAGTTGATCTAGTGGGACAAAATGGCTAACCATAACACTTTATTGAAATGCCCAAAGCAGAAATTTATTGCGATTTATTAAGCGTTGCTTAGATGTGGCACAAGATACGGAACACCCGGTAAGGATCGAACTCACAAGTACGTCGTAACTAATCGAGAGGGACAAGCTTGTTAACCAATACACTATGTCGAAGTGCCCAGAGCAGACATTTATAGATCATAATGCAAATACGCGTTCTATTTTTATATTCCTGGCTCAAATAAACATTCCTGAAGAAAGGCTTTACATTTAAATCCGGGAAGGTCGCGTTCAAGAATCTTAACACTTCCTGGCAAGAAAGTACATTTTCGAGTGTTGGGTGACCCCACTTGTGTTGCAGAAGGCCACGAGGCTTCCAGACCATAGAACAAAGAGGATTTGGTTATATAGCTTCTCTAATTGCTTTTGACTGATTTGATTTTTTACGGCTTATAAACCTTTTAAAACCTGAAACATTTTAGGATTGTAGGAATGTTTTGGAGATAATAAGGACTTCCTGATACAAGTCTAACTATTTAACCCATAGCTGGGAGGAGAAGTGGTGGATTTATACCTTTCCTAAGGCTATTTGCACGTAAGTGAAGGTAATTAACCCGACTGAAGTTCGAACTCGACTCTTCAATTTTTGATTCCGAGCCTTTCAGCATTACACTATTCGCCCATCAAAGCTTACCGGATCTGGCATTCCCAAGCTGTCACCCGTCTAGATACTGACAAGATTCAACGTTGCTTAACTTCGGTGATCGGATGAGTACCAGTGTTTCAACATAATATGGCTGTAAGAAAAGTATTAATCTGTGGTCTAATTCAGTAGTCGGGATTGATATTGACATTAACTAATAACGTCGAAGTTAAGCCTAGGCAATATCAAGACGGGTGACTACTTCTTAATTCTTCTTCTTCTTCTTCTTCTTCTTCTTCTTATTATTATTATTATTGAAGGAGAAGGCAGCAAACTAACGAAGTGGCATTGGCGTACAAACATACGAATCCCAGCATAATTATAATGAGAGCCAGCTGGATAAGGATATACCACGTATATGTATCAAAGTTCGGATAACCCGGTCTTACCTAAAAATCAGCATTTTTATATAGTTATATTACTTAATTATTCGAAAAAAAATAATCATTTTATGTCAAGTTAAGCAAAGTTGATATTCGTCAGTACCTAGATGGGTGACCGCTTGGGAATACCAGTTGCTGTAAGCTTGGATGTGCAGGTGGCGCAATGGATAATGGCTCTAATTTGGAACTCGGAAAGCCGGGTTCCAATTCCGGCCAGGTTCGTTATATTATGTGCAAATACGAATTCGGGTAATAATAGCACGGGTAAAAATGACAGAAGTGGGAAAATAGGAAAAAAATGGCACCAAGCGAATGTGCAGTTGACCTGGAGCCGTCAAGCACACCATTGATATCAGTGGCTCTATCACAATCCCATCATTGAAGTTATAGCAAGTAATAAAGGAAAAGAGATTTGCTTCCAAAGGTACAGATTGCAAGATCAATTACTATCAGATGGAGATGTGTGAAGAGAACATCTTTTTATAAAGGTGCCATTACCATCAGTCTTGATATGAATGATCCTGTACCATGACCACCAGCCTTGATATGACTGATCCTGTACCATGACCACCAGACTCGATATGACTGATCCTGTACCATGACCCCCAGCCTTGATATGACTGATCCTGTACCATGACCACCAGCCTCGATATGACTGATCTTGTACCATGACCACCAGACTCGATATGACTGATCCTGTACCATGACCACCATCCTTGATATGACTGATCCTGTACCATGACCACTATCCTTGATATGACTGATCCTGTACCATGACCCCCAGCCTTGATATGACTGATCCAGCTAAAAAACCACAACCACGCTCCTGATTATGAAGCTGTTGAATCCAGAAAATGCCTCAACATCATGTAGAGAAAAGCAGCAGAAACAGAAGATCAACCTAACCAGATTTATAGCAATAACCTGGATGACTTACCAGCTGAGGCAAAGACGTTACTTTCAAGTGAGGTCATCATAAAAAGAACTTTGTGTAACCAAAGAGCAAAACTCTATCCACAAGTACCATGTCGGAGTTAACTCCTCCTTAATTTCCTAACTGTTTCTAGAGGACGTTCTCCCTACACTATAAATACTGGGCAATTTATTGCCTCGTTCTGTTTTGACTTTGCATTTCTGCAGACAAATTTAAAAATGTGATCTCTTGCAGAGATCCACGTTTTCGCCCACTTGTGGGAAAACGCCATGCACGTACGCACGAACTTTCACCAAAATGCAAACTCTTTACGTTCACACACAAACACAAATGTTGACGTTTTTGTTATTTGTAAATTTGTTGTTTAGTACATATATTTGTTGACATACATATATTGCTCTTGTTTGTTTTCTTTACATCTTTGGTTGGACTCAACTTGAGTCCGCCATGTTCTTGTAGTTGAACCTTCTTCTAGCAGGAATAAACAGCACGTGTTCCTAATTTAACAACACGTAAACACACGGTCTGCTACAACCAGAAAAAACTTGAAGATCTGCAGCCTGCTGGAGAATGAACTACTACTTCTGCTCTCGGGCATTGTACCATTTTGTCTTATTTTTCCGCTTGTGCCATTTTTACCGTACCATTTTTATCTATGCCATTTTTACCTGTGCTATTATTACTGTGCACCCCCAAATACACTTGGGCAAGGATACGAATCTGCTTCCCTCCCCATCTATAAATTTAATTAGTAAGATTTGTATCGGTAAATCATTTTTACCTCAAAAGAAAATTCTTACAATCTAAAAATATTTTTTTAACTTTAAATCACCTGCCAAAGGTTAACAAGCCGACAATATGTTAAATAACTTTTTAATATTCCTGTAAAACAAAGGTCGCTGCCCTTTAAAATCATTGAATGAAAAAAAATGGGTCGGTGTGTGTTAATAGTTTAATATTTCCAAGGCTAATAAATGATGTCATATATAAAAACAATGTAAATAGAATCTGAGCTCTTTGTAAAAAGCAAAACAAAAAACAAAACAAAAAGCAAAACAAAAAAAAACATGCTAATATATTTGTCCTGTTCAAAATAACAACTAATATGAACATGGCGGAAATGTTATCGTCTGTTTTATCCAATGTTGTGTGAGGGACAAACAATAGAGAATCACATGGGGAATTTTAAGCAAACATAATGCCCGCTGAAATACGATCCATTTTCAGCTGGTGACAAAAGATGAATATCTTCTAAATATATGGACGATGTGGCTTGTGATTCTTTGGTAACATATGAATATCTGCGAAGGCCATTTGCAGTTACAATAAAAGCTAACAAATATAGCAACAAAAGAATTAAGAACAATATTGACAACATAAACAAAGGCTTCGCTTTTATAGCTAGAAATATTTTGGTCATTTGAATGCAGAATCTTTTTAGTTTAAACATTGCAATGACAAATAGCATTTAAAGCTGTTTGTCATAGGTGAAATACGACTGGGCTTGAGACAGACTTAATAAAAATAACTCGTTATGTGCACAAGGATAGCGAAAAATGCCTTCTAAATGCTAAGCAAAGTATTAAGAAACAGGAATTCCTTTAGAAACAAAGAAACGAGTATTAAACTCTTACGTAATATCGGTCCTACTACATGGAAGTGAATACTGAACAATATCTTCACTGACGAAGAGGAGACTTGAAGCAATAGAAATCTGATTCTACGGAAGGATGCTGAGAATACTATGGACTGAATAAGGATGAAGTCTTAGAGTAAATGAAACAAAATGCACACTTACATTCAACATCAGAAAGAAACAGTTGAAATTTCTAAGGAACATGATAAGGAAAGTATGCTTGGAAAAACTGATACTCGTAGGACCGATTGAAGGCAAGAGGGTCAGAGGAAAACAACGCATTTCATACGTAGCGAGCTTGATCAAAAAGATAAGAGAACAGGATTAAGAAGAGGTAACAAAAGGACAAAATGTATTAAGGGATACAATCAATATGAAAGTGTGGAAAGCAATGACTGCCAACGTCCTTTTTTACCGCTTTGTTTTCTTAATATTCTAATTTAATTACTGGAAGAATATGTCCAAAGCTTACAGATAACATTAGTTTCCCTCAGGTTCCAAAAGAATCTGTTATTTCAAGAGAATAATAACAGATTTCAGAGCAATCTCTCTCTCTCCTCTCTTTCTCTCTCTCTCTTCTCTCTCCTTCTCTCTCTCCTCTCTTTCTCTCTCTCCATCTCTTTTCTCTCCTCTCTCTCCCCCTCTCCCCACTCTCTCTCTCTATATATATATATGTATACCCAGTGTAACAGCAAAATTGTCCAATCGTTAGATTAAGCTTTGAACCGTTGTATCTTAGAAATGATTAAAGATATCTTACTGGAATTCTCCAAGGTTTTTATAACACTATTGGATTACGAGCAATAAAAATGCATAATTACTCTCCAAGCTTAACAGAAGAATCGTGATGAAATCGATCATAAACAAAAATGATATGTTCATCATTAATTAATCATAGCTTGCGTGCTTGTGTGGCACGTCAACAGTCCAGTGCATAATGATTAATCTGATTTAAGTGCATAAGATTTTAAAATATGATTTTTTTTTATCCAGTAAGTATTTTTATTTTAACTTTCCTCAAATAGACAATTTTTTTTAATTAAAATATTTTTAATTTAAAGACAGACACAAAGAGATCCCGCTCTGCTGTTTCGTCCAGTTGTTTGTAGAGTAATTATTTATATTTCAGCTTTCTTTAAACAAACAATATTTTGAATATTTAAAAATATTTTTTTGGCATATTTAAAAATATTGTCAAGTAAATATGATTTTTAAATATTTTTTTGGCATATTCAAAAATATTTTTAAGTTAATCTGATTTAAAGTTCAAATTTATACCGGAAGTTCTGTTCCTATTAAATGCTGTAAACAATCAGTAAAACATGAACTTGTAAACCAGATCAATGATGACATAAATGAATTGAATTATTTAACTGAATCATAATAAAATGAACTCTCATTTCAATGGTATGCTGAAATCAACTTCAATGTTTTATAACCCATACCGTCAGTGACTCAATTGATCATACGTAGTCTAGTATCTTCGAAAAGTAATGTTTTTTTTCCCGTTACCTTTTTCACTGTCTTGAATTCAAAATTTTCCTTTTTCTCGAGTCGCTGCGGCGTACGGCCATATTTGAAACAACGTTTATCGTTTGATCAACGAAGTTAAGCATTAATAAGCCTAGTCCGTTCCAAGACAGGTGACCGCTTATTATTATTATTATTGTGTAAAAAGCAACAAAGAATGATTGGGGTACGAATATACGGATCCTAACCTAATTATCATGGCAGCTAGCTGGATAAAGTATAAAGTTGTACCACGTATATGTATCAAAGGTCGGGTAGCCCGGTCTCTATAGGTCTTACCTACGAATCAACGCTCGTATATATTTGTATTTCTTAATTATTAGAACAAATAATCATCTCATGTCAAGTTAAGCAACGTCAATGTTGGTCAGTACCTAGATGGATGGCCGCTTGGCTATGTCAGTTATTGTATGCTTGGATGTACGGATGGTATAAAATAACCGTACAAAATGAGAAATCGGAGATCCGAGTTCCAATTTCAGTCTGGTTCGTTTTATTCACCTACGCGCAAATATCCTTCGGAAAGCTATGCATCCTCTGCTTCTCCTCCAGCTATGAGTTAGATTTTATCAGAAAATCTTAATCATCTCCAAATTTTTTTTCTTATACTCCAAAT